AGTAACGAGGTAACGGTATCGCGATACATTTTCAAAGTAACGTTAACAACCCTGCACAATGCGTACTTTACAAGTGTGCTTCACGGCGTTCAGCACTTATGAGTGCTTGCTTTCTTGTTGAAATAAAGCATTCCGGTAAAGCTGAAATGCAGAAGAATGCGAGGAACAAGAAAACGGAAGTCACAGTGTTGGAGCATAGCGATTTCCGTTTTCTTCTTCCCCGCATTCTTCTGCATTTCAGCTTTACCAGAATGCTTTATTTCGGTGAAGACGCTCCAGGCGAGATATTGGTGCTGCTCCGACAGCTTGCGCGGGCACACACACACATCCTACCTCGTCGTTCGGCATATCCTTAACAGAGCCCAGTACATAAGCGAAAGGCATTTCCCGAAAACCGCGTCACGATGCGCCAGTCGTTTCGCTGCGAAAGCCATTACTTCTGTAATGACTGCGCGTCTACTTGAAGGACCTTTCCTGAGGCATCTCCTCTCAGCCGTCACCGTCGTCGCTCAGTTGGCAAGAGCGTCGGTCTAAAGAACAGAAACCTGTAGGCTAAGGGATCGAATACCGCTTGTTTCCCTTTTACCGTGACCGCTGGGCCCGAAATCAGTCCGCAGAGTGCATCCGGGCACACCCAGAAACTTTCGGTTTTTGTCACTTTGCGGGTGTGTTTCCGGGCTTCACCGGGGCATGCCCGAAAAGAGCCCGGCGGTCTGGGCTGTTTCTGGGGCTCCTCATTTCTAAACGGGACCCAGAGTTAGGGGAAACTCGCTCGCTTCTCGCGGAGCTGCGCGCGCGTCTCGGCCGGCGGAGGAGTAGGGACAGGCCAGTAGAGTGGAGAGGGAGCTCAGCGCGGCTATGAGAGACGCGGCTATGCGAGTGGCCACTGTATGTAATTTTACTTCAGACAAAATTGTCTGAGTTTTCATATTATTTTTTTAACAGTATTTGTCGGTACCAGGCCGGCGCAGGTCAGGGCACACCAATGCCCCGCCCCAAAGTACAGTGTTAAAAATTTCCACGGAATTTTCAACGGAACAGGGTACTCCGCTGCAATAGCCAACCGGGACCCATAGAAGAAAAGCCGATCTGTTTCCTCCTGAACGCTGATTGGTCAACAATGACCTATGTCACGTCGGTCAGCCTATGAGCGCACAGAGGGGAGCAGATCAATTAGTCATGCTTTTTTCTTTAGGTTCCGGTTTGCTTGCAGCGGAATACCCTACTGTCAAGAAATTTTGTCCAGATACCAGTCAATATATTTGCTGGGTTAGCTCATGTTTGACTCAGGCAAATATTTATTTTTCAGATCGGTGGACTGCTGAGCCTCAGTCTGCTGATGGTATCGGTAGCAGAAACTCTCAGTCCCAGCGAGCAACCTTTTATCAGACGCCTGTCCGTCCGAAATGCCTTTCCGTGCTGCTCCAGTATCTCGGCCTTTATAATCTTGACGAAAAGGAAGGACACTATCCTTGCAGCTGTACGACACGCGAGGGACGCGGCCCGGGTTCTGTGCACCCCCGGCGAGACCCAGGTAAGAGGAGGGTCATCGGAGTGGTTGCTGAACTAGTACAGCGCCATCTCCTACAGCTAATAACTCTGAGGCAGGTGAGGGACCGAACTGTCTCAGTATATCTACACTTAAGGTTTGAGTTGTTATCTTTTTCTTCTTAAGGACATGAAGGGAAATATCAAGCAGGTAGGCGTTCATCATAGCCACTGAAAATTTCCATTTTCCTTACATTATTCACAAAACAAGCTACTCTGTCTACAACATCATTCAATATGTTCTAGTCTAAAGGTATCACTGGCATAGTGTCTTTCAGGTATGAATCGACTGAAACTTCTTGACAATGAACATAGGGTCAGGTAGGGGAAAACGAGACATTTCAATAACTTTTGTATTATCAAGCATTTAAATGGTTATTTGATAAGTTTTCCTGCGTCTGGTCGATGAAACACAACCCCAGTAATCAAAATAAAGCGTTATTTCAGTACCGCAACCTGTAGTGTATGCAGAATCCGAAATAGTATGTGTCTTTTCACCAACACGCATTTCGGGGAAAATGAGACACCCGTGGGTAAGAATGAGACAGGCAAAAACCCAGCAGATTAGATAGGGACCTGCCTTGGGGAAAAACGAGACAGCGCCACTCCATTTTTTGTCTCATTTTTCCCCGCATTGGCTTCCCATGTAAATGCAATGGAACGGAGTGTATCTTTCTTCCCTACGTAAGTGTCTCATTTTTCCCCGTGCACTTATGGTTAGTCGTACTGTCAGTAGAGTTATAATCCAGGGATGTTGTAAAGCTTCACGAAACAGCCCAGCTTTCCAACGAACTCGCACACTTAATCTTTACTCCTAAGAATACGGATGCAGTACTGAAAATGAACACCGCCACAGGAAAGTTTTAGAGCCCTTGCGTACAGGTGGTCGGACAGGCTTCCCATTAGGTATGTTTCGTGACGAGAACAAGCGAGTAAACTTCCCAGAAACGGTTATTAATTGAAGTCGAATGTTACAAGATGAGTTTCAAGCACCCAAACACTAGGAATGAGGTCAAAAAGCATGCAAACCAATCAAGAAAGGCGAATGTATCATTCTTCCCCAATCTAGAGGTGTCTCATTTTCCGCCGACCTGACCCTACAATCAGAAAAAAATTCAATGCTCTTTTGAACAATAACATTTTTTTGTGCAGAAAGGTAAACCAAGCGGAAGATATCCCAATCAATTGTTGATACCCACTGGCGGTACACAAAAAGGTCCACTTTGCTTTTTACTTCACAATGTAGTTCAGTATACTCCTGCCTTCCAGTGATGGTACAAAGGGGGGCAGAATCACCTTGTACTGTTGTACAACCAGTGACCGAGAAATAGTAGACCGTACCCAAACAAGACCCGACATAACCGACCTGGCAAATCGTTTTTGCAAATCGATGCGCTAGAGGGCTTTTTTCGACGAAAATACGGCGAAAATTATCGCGTTGCACATTAAGACGTACAAGGAGCCGTCCAATCGTAAAATGTAAG